AGTGCGCTGGTCTGCGCAACGTTCCTTCAGGCTGCGAAGCTTGTCGCAGGCGATTGGACGAACGGCAGACAGAGGCTCCGCTGGCGACGGGCGACCAAGCAGGTTATTGCAAAAAGTCGTAGCTGAGCAGAGCTTGGCCGTAGTAGCGTCACGGCACCAAGCAGCAGGACCACCGGCACACAGAGCCGCCAAGTGTCTCTTGGAAGAGCAGAGTCCCAGTTTCTGTGTATGTGTGTAATGGGTTGTGTTAGGGTAAGTTGCAGAAAAAGATCAAACCCTAGGCAACTACCATCTCACACACATACAGCTTATTGCGGAATTGGCACAAAGGTTCGAAGGAAAGGTATGTGAGTTTACTGTCGCAAAAGTTACGTCTTGATTAAATGAACTTTGAGTATCTGGAGCAGTTGCGTAATCAAGCCAAAACTATTTGGTTCGACGGTACGGATGACTCGTATGGTCGCCTAAACAGGAGAGGGGAATAGAAATGCCCGTACACTAAAAATAAGTGGTCTTGCGATAAATCTTAGGGAGGAGAACTATTCACGTGTTTTAACTTTAACATAAAACTAAACTGTAACCATAATTTTATCCCAAGCCCTATCCTATACCTAAACCCAACAGTTAACACGAGCCGAAATCTTAACTCTTAGCACAAACCTGACCCTAACCCAAACTTTGACCCTAACCTTAAACCTGACCCCTACCATAATCTCAAGCTTAATTTCCACAGAATTTGGCGTAAAGCCACCTGTGTTGCGGGCGGTTCCTGTTTGTATGTCTTGTTTAAACATAAACCTACACCACACACAGTGTACTGTCAATACACCTACTGAAAGCCACCTACGCCTGTCGACGAACAGCCACATACGCTCCCACTGACTTAGCTGATGCACGGTTGGACCGATAATCGTCTCGCCATCTCCAAGACAAGGATCCGCCTTCAAGCACGCAGCTGACCTCAAGGTAAGTGGTCTCCCAGGTAAGTTGGATACTGTTTCCTTGAACTTGTCCGCTAATCATCTACATTATTGTATTCGTATTATGGTGTCTTATGTACCAGTATTACTAAGTATGATAACTAGTATTAGCACCAATAGTACTTGAATATTATTGCTGTCAGCAGTAGTCTTAGGCAACATCAGTCTTGTTATTCGCTACTTGTTGGCATTGCTCTTATTAGCGTTAGTATTACTAGGGCTGCTAGCCGTAGGCATAACTGCATCAGTCGCACTTTCGGCGTAGCTATGGCACCATCAACCCATTGTGTGTTGTGTGGCGGGGCTGATGCATGTCCATCAGTACTGCAACGCCTACTTCCCACCAGAAAGCACTGCGGTCAGTCTTAAGAGTTTCTGCATATGTCGTAAGTGGAAAAATCTCTCCGACCTTAACAGCCACCCAGTCGCTTGGCATGGAACTGATTTCGGAAAGGCTTTTAAACCAGAAAACAGGAGGAACCGGTGGTTTGTTCATTTCCCACGGATGTCACTAAAACCCCATGACAATCAGCTGTAACAAACGCGGTTGTAAGTAGCGTAGAGGTGCAAAGCACAATTTTTACCAGATCTGGAATGTAGGCGACACAGAGAATGAATGGGAAAGTCTATAAAAGTGTCCAGCAGGGCATAAAGTGACTTACCGCGCAGATTTCGTGTGGAGGTAATCCGTCGACGAGCCATTTGAGAATGTCAGCAGTCCAGGAGTCCACTAGATCTTCACACTAAGTTGAAAAGAAGTCACATGGAGTGGATAATCCAAAATAATAAACAAAGAGTATAGACAGGAGTATCAATTCACTTGTAGTATTCAGTTACTGAGAGTGACCATGAACACCGCGTGTATACTTCATTGTGGTGTTAGAGCCAAATGCTGAGAACAGGACCCTTACATCTTAAACACTACAGTTCGACAGTCGATTCCGATAATGTAAACCATATGCCCAACAGGATGGTGGTGCAGGGGCGGTGACTTGCACATGAATTATTTTTAAATGATAGTAGACTTGCGTTGCATTTACCGTGCTCTCTTTTTATTCACTCGCCTGAGCCCGGTGTAAAGAAAAAGTCAAGAAGACCGGAGGCGGGATCGAGCGCAGGCGAACGGATCCGCCAAACCAGACTCATCCCACGGGGTGGGTGTGCCATAAAGGCCACGGGTGGCTAGTGCTCGAGCCTGCATGTACGCATGAAACCAATGCTACCCCCACATGTTCGGCACTTGCTATGGGAGCGCAACCCGAATAACACCTGCCATACGCTGCTCTGGACCTCGTGTTGGTTCAGTGCATCTATCCCGTGGCACCTTT